AGGACTTCTGCCCTCCCCCAGAGCCCCAGCTCTGGCTGCAGCACAGCAGTCTGCCCCAGCACAGAGCTGGTCACAGCCTCCTCCACCCCAGTGCAGCTCGGGTCGGTGCTGTCCGCTGGTCAGATGCCCTGTGGTGGGTCAGAGCCAGAGCTTGGATTGTTCCTGGCCCCACCAGTTTGGATTAGGCACCCTGGCCAGAAGCACAGGTCCAGCCTTGGTGGCCATGCGTTGTGACTCCCAGATTGCCTCTGCGCTGCCACAGCAGCCCCCCACCCCGCCGCAGTAGGCTCAGTGGCGAGTCCTACATGAGAAGAGGTGGGGCTCTACATCCCTTTTCTCATAAGGAGATAGTGGTGGTGGCAGCAGCCTGGACTGGCCCGTGGCTGGTGTAGGAGGGCATGCGTAGCTGTCCTGCCAGCGTTGGCCCGCAGCTATTCCTTGTCTTCTCTTGGGAGACTGATGTAGGGGACCATCCCTTGGGCTGCCATTTTATGAAACTGTTCTCCAGATCCTTTCTAAGCTTCATAAACATTACAAGTCATACAACTGTCAGGAGCTGGGATACATACTTCCCTTCTTCAGAAACTAGAACTAAGAGAGTTACTATCCAACTGCGTCCCAGGAAAGCCGGGCAGGATCTAGTAGCACTGTGCATGGGAGGGCAGAGCAGGGATGTTCCCAGCTGCAGACTGTGGCTCAGACAGCAGATCCTGCGTGGAGATGCGTGTCCAGGTGTGAGGGAAATGCGCAGGTGGGAGGCGGCAGTGTGAGCGGAGGAGGGTGCAGTGTGCACAGTCTCCGCTCCCATTGCGACAGCAGCGCTGTGGGCTGGCTCTGTGCCCTGATGGGACAGCTGGGGCTGCCTGGGTGGCCGCTGCCACCAGGTGCTTGCATGTCCCTCGGGTGGGCGTGGGAATCTGGAGAAGCAGGCTGCCAGCCTTCCAGACAGGCGTGCTACAGTGGAGGCGGTGATGGGCTTGGCGGGGTGGGTGCTGCAGCCCTTCCTCAGCCAACTTCCCTCACCCTGCATGTGTAGAAGGGCTTCCTGCGAACTGATGTCCTTCCTATAGAGAGCATTGTGCTAGACTTCGCTAAATACAGAGGATTTGCATGTTGCTGTGTCTCTGTTTTGAGGACAGCGGATACTTTAATAAACCAGAAAAGAGTAGCTTAGATTGCAGAAATAATTTAATATTCTTCTGCTGACTCTTTAAACTGGCAGCAAGACGTGGTGCTCTGATTGCCAGTGATATGGAAAAACCATTCTCCTGAGAAAGTGAATCTGAATTATTTCCACCACCACAGCAGGGCGCATTGTATAGCGCTGGAACGTACCATGACCTGTGGAAATGAATGGCTGAAAGCAGGAAGTCGTTCAGCTTGTTTTCATGCAGGTGAAGTGAGGGGATGGGAAACCAAGCAGGCTGTATGCTCTCAACACTCTTGTTGCACTGTACTGAATGAAGCATCTTTTGCTTTTTCAGCAGATCTAAATCCTTTTTTAAATTCTGGACCTAAGGCAACAAACTTCTCGAGGATATATAGCTACAGCATTCTCAGTGTTGGTATTTTCAGTCCGTTAGACATGTGTGCATTGTTTTAATTATGTAATTATACTTAATTATGTAATTATAAAGGCCTTATTTCTGTAAGGTCTTTGACTCTGTCCCACAAAACATGCTTGTTGCTAAATTGGAGACAAAGGAGTTTGACAGGTAGATTGTTTGATGAATAAGGAATTGGCTGGGTGGCTGCCTCCAAAGGTTCGCGGTCAAGTGGCTCAATGTCCACATGAATATCAACAAGTGGTGTCCCTCAGGGGCCCATATTGGGACGGGTACTGTTCAATATCTTTATTAATGACATAGAAGGATCAAGTGCACCCTCAGCAGGTTTGCAAACAACACCAAGCTGTGTGGTGCAGTGAACACACTGGAGGAAAGGGATGCCATCCAGAGGGACCTGGACAGGCTTGAGAGGTGGGCCCACGTGGACCTCACAAAGTTTAGCAAGGCCAAGTACAAGTTCCCACACCTCAGTTGGGGCGGTCCACATTATCAGTAGAGAGTGGGGGATGAACAGATTGAAAGCAGCCCTGAGAAGGACTTGAGGATACTGGTGGATGGAAAGTTGGACATGAGCCTGCAAAGTGCGCTCGCAACCCAGAATGCCATTTGTATCCTGGTGAGCATGTTGAGGGAGGTGATTCTGCCCCTCTACTCCACTCTGGTGAGACCTCACCTGGAGTCCTGCATCCAGTTCTGGGGTCCCCAGTATAAAAAAGACCTGGACCTGTTGGAGGAGGCCCAGAAGAGGATCATAAAGATGACTAGAAGGGTGGAACTCCTATGAAGAAAGTCTGAGAGAATCGGGTTTGTTCAGCCTGGAGAAGAGAAGGCTGTGGGGAAACCTTATTACAGTCTTTCAATACAAAAATGGGGCTTATAAGAAAGATGGAGAGACACTTTTTACCAGGACCAGTGGTGACAGGACAAGAAGCAATAGTTTTAAACTGAAAGTGGGTATATTTAGATCGGACATGAGGAAGAAATTCTTTGTTATGAGGGTGGCTGAAAACTGGAACAGGTTGCCCAGAGAAGTTCTGCCATCATTGGAAGTGTTCAAGGCCAGGCTGGACGGGGCTTTGAGCAACCTGGTTTAGTGAAATATGTCCCTGCCTATGGCAGGGGGGGTGGACTAGATGATCTTCAAAGGTCCCTTTCAACTCAAAACATTCTGTGATTCTATGAATTGTGATTAACAGCCTGTTGCATGAAAAGGTGTCTGACTTGGGAGTCATATGTGCAGAGCTTGGCTTCAGCGCTGTGAGTCTGTAGGTGGGGTATTTAAATACTTCCTGTAACTTAAAGAAAAGCCTAGAAGTTTAAGCATAATAGCTGTTGGTTGGATAACCTATCCCCAGGAGGAGGAAATACATAGAGGTTTGCAGTGGAGGCTGTCCCAGTTCCTCTGTTGGCTCATGACAGTGCCTGTGCTGTGCTGTCACACTGCCTGGTCACACTAGGTTGTTAGTGGTTGTTAGCCACTTCTATGGCTAACAGGTATTTGCTTTTGCAGCAAGTATCTGAGTCATATTGCATCCAGTGAGATCTCTGTTAGTTCCTTCGGTCTGCTCTTCCAGACACATGAACAATTTTTTCATGCCCTTACCAACCTACTTTTAGTATCTTCCATGTGGTGATGCAAACCAGATTTAAACAAAATTTTGCTGGCGCTTGGGGTAATAGCCCTGCCTCTGTGGGTCATCTCCTCTCATTACACACCATAAACCGTACGAGAAACTTCCCTGGTTCTATTGTTATGTATTCCTGTTCACCTGCTCCAGAATACTTTAAAGGTTTGGTTAAGTTGCTGTGCAGCAGCGAAGCATCTGAAACATTGGTGAAAAGTGCACATGCTAGGAGGAAAGCCTTGTCCCTTACTGTGCTAGAAAGGGTATAGCGGAGCTCAAAAAGTGGCAATGTGTAATGACAGAATGTTATCAAACACTGTTATTTAACGAATATTCCTAGTTGGTATCAGTCTGCCAGCTACATAGCTTTCTACACCCTTTACCTGAGTATGTGTCAACATGTATATATAAATATTTTTAAGCATGACTTGTGAAAGTAATTGGAGAATAAATTTGTCAGAAAAATTTATTGCAAAAGTAATTTAATATCATACACTGGGGCTAGCATTTGTATATTTTAAGAAGTGACATTAGTTATGTGATCATTCTTGCTGATGTTAGTTTAGCTGGCTGATACTATGAGTTAAGTATGTTTCTGTATAGGAGATTAAAATGTGGCTCTAGCTATTCAATTCTGACTTCTTGTGAATAGTTTTAGTAATGTCGTATCCAATTAAAGTGGACATTTAGGAAAAACCTTTATGCATTTTGTGTGAAAACAGATATTTGCCAGAACATGGGGCTTAGTTCAGCTGTCTCATTCCAACTTGTTATCCAGCATTTGGCAATTCCTAGCAGATGCCAGGGCAGGAGGAGGTAAGTGAAGGTAGAGGAAATCCTAATTCGTATCGTGTAAGATGGGCCTTTGACAACCTTGCTTCTGAGAAGCAAGGTTATAGAGCCAAGGTGATAGAAAAAGGCAATATTAGAGTTTTATGTACTTTTTAAAAAATACTTTTTCTTCTCAAATTGGCATTTCAGAGGGACACAGAAAGCAGTAGCTTAATTGATCTCCTGGCAGCCATCAGATGAATATTACAAAGCAAAAGCACTTTCTTAGCTGCTGGCTGCCTGTGTCTTCTCCCTCTGCGGTGAAACACTTTCCCACGTTAGCTTTCTTACGGTCCCAGAAGAAATGAGAGTAAAAGGGAGCGCGGAAAAGGTTGACATCATTCTGCTGTCATGTACCACCATTCTGGTACAGGGTCCCTCACCCCCAAAGGAAATGAATATTAGAAATGTACGGTTTTGAGTTGTTCTGAGTTTCACAATTTGCTTCTTTTCCAGGGCAGAGAAAATGATTAATTTGTTTCAATATATTACACCTTTTCATCTACTTGTCTATGTAGAAAAGTGGCAGCTTCTTACATAAGGCTCAATTCCAAGTCCTTTTTTGCTTTTTCTTTTTCATAAATCTGAGAGAATTTGTCCCAACAGCTTTCTGAAAAGCCCCAGTTTCTTCCTCCTTTAGATGCAGCCAGACCAAAGCATTCTTTATCAAATGACTCCTCAAGCTTGCCAAGTTTTGTTCTTTGCCATCTTTGTGTGTTAATGCATCTACCCTAACGTGAGCCAGGACGTGCTTACTCGGTTTCTTGGTGTAAGGCTACTGATGCAATGAACCAGAGAGTTGCGGAGAAAAAAACTGAAGGAAAGGGTGCCTTCCTCATCTCTGTTGTAGTCCCCTAGGTTCTGTTTGCTTTGTTTAGTACTAAAAAAGAATAAACTGAAAGATAAAAATGAAGAAGTGCTTTTTGTGAGGGATCTTTTGCTTAAACACTGTTACTGCTTTGATTTTTTTCTGCAGAGTGGGAAGCCCCCAGTTAAGGATATGTTCACAGATCTGAGAGATGGAAGGAAGCTCTTGGACCTTTTGGAGGGTCTGATGGGGAAACCTCTGGTAAGAGACATATGGATGAGTCATTCTCATTTATTTAAAAAAACAACCAAGTAAACAAAACCCAAAACCCAAACTGTGGTGTGTGATTTTTTTTTTTTTCAATTTATTTAAAAACCTATTTTGATTGTAATATGTACTCACTCTGTAGAATTCCAGTGAAATTCCCACAAATTCCACTTATGGGATATAGGGTCAGGCTGAAATTAGCTGTATGACCCTTGCATAAGGGTTAACATACTGTTTAGCAAAGCATGTAAAACCAGTGGTGTTATTCACATAGTGCATATTTTTAATAGAGATCTTTTAAAGATCTGTTTCTGGAAGAGCAGCCTTTAGCTGGATACCTGTGGACTTTTTCTAATAAGCTCATGAAACTTCCTTTAAAAAAGAAAGAAAAAATGATAACGGCTCATAGGCAATAAGAAAATCTGCATGTCCGTTGAAAAATCCTTTATGATCTACAGACAGGAGAGGGCTAAAAACTCCGTGAGTCTTGATTGGGAAAATGCATGTGGGGCTGAAAACTCTTTCTCTGGTAACACTGCTGCCTCTTCAGAAAGACAGATGAGGCATGGTGAAACCTGCCTTTGGGATTAAATTCTTGACTTCACTGTTTATAATAAATCTTAAATTTGTTTATTGACCTTATGGGGAATCTTCAGCCTTTCGTAAATTCACCTTGCAAGATTGCCTTGTTTTTTTAAACAAATGCATTTCACTAATATTTCTAATGATTTGTGGTCTGATCTGAAGTATACTGAAGAAAATAGAAGTTTTTTAGTTTCTAATTCTGTTATTACCATGTTCCAAGCTCAGCTCCTTGCTCTTGCAGTACGATCATATTCTGCCACAGGAGTTAAACTGCAGTGATTAAAAGCAAGTGGAGTAACAGACACAGTCAAGAGTTGCAGTGGGTGTTTTTCACCCCGATATTAAAAGGAAGGGAAAGTCAGGAAGTGTAACTTCTTCCCAGTATGCAAATATTTAGCAGGCTTTCAATGCCAGAAAAACAAATTGCTGCTTGTTCCCACTTGGGAGCCAATAAATTTCAACTACTTTGGCAAACATTCAAAACCCTCAGATTTTTCCCGGGAACTCCCACTTTGCTGTTGTATTGCCAGTTTATAATTCTGCAGATGCTGGGAATAAAAATTCTGGACTTACCGAAGTTTAGTTGAAACATATTTTGAATCCAGAGCTTGTCCTTGTGCCTTGAATTGACGAATATTTTTCCGACCAGTTTTCATTTTGAAATTGTTGTGGATGATCTTGTTTGGGTTTTTTTCCTACTTCAAAAAAAAAAAAAAAATTAAACCTGGAGAAAATTAAGACAAATTTCCTGTTTGCTCTATTATTTATTTTCTTTGGTCTGTCAAGTTAATTCCGATGTGAACAGATTGTTACTTTTTATTTTCAGCCTAAAGAACGAGGTTCCACTCGAGTACATGCCTTAAATAATGTCAACAGAGTACTGCAAGTCTTGCATCAGAACAACGTGAGCATGTTTTTCTGCAACTTTTTGGCGGACTCTTTAATTTATTGCTGTGTGTAAATGAGTTTGAAAGGCAGAGAATAAGGATTTTTGGTACCCAAAATGAGAATTGAGCAAGATGTGTAAACTGATCTCGGTTTTCCTTAACTGATGTAGAATTTTGGTGTCTGGCAATTTTGTGATGTCTTAAAATGGTAACTTACAATGGTATTAACTAAACTGTGTTTTGTTGAGGTGTGTTCAGCTCCCAAAATAAAGATGACTTGCATAGCTCATGAATATGGCAGGATGAAAAACTAATTTCCAGTTTTCATGCATAAATTTGCAAAAATCTGTAAGGGTGTGGCAGGTTTTGTGTCTCTGTGTCCTGCTCTCAAAATCCAGGAGGATATTTCTGTTGACAACTGTCAACTCTGTGTCAGATCTGTACTGTGTGTTTCTAATTCGGAGCTTTGATAACTGATCAGAAGAACAAATAAACAAACCCCAATCCTTTTTTACAAAAAATCAGAAGAATAATTTTTAGTTTGTTTTTATGTTTTTACTGCCTGGAAGCCAGTAGTGCTGTGCTAAAGTGATTTTTTTCTCCTGAAGAACAATTCCTGATAAGCATACGCTTTATGGTTAGAATTTCTATTTATGAATGTCAGGGCACTAAAATAACTTAAGAATATTCTGGCAATATAATACATCTAATGCAAAAAGGCACTGACATATTTATGTAAAACTGCTGATTGAAGAGTGATACGAAGGTGCTCTATAATACTGCAATTTCCCCTCTGTGTTGGTGGGCTAGTGTCAGATTTCTTGGAAGCAGCCAAAGTCAGTGGTGGGTGGTTTGGTTTTTTTCTTCTTTAAAGTACTGTAAATATTGATTAACTTTCTTTTAAGGATACGTAATGAGTCTTTCCAGCTTCAAATTGATTTATTTTATGAAGATGATAAAATAATATTGAAATACAAGAATTAATTCATTCTTCCTTAAGCTGGTAGGGTCTGGGTTTGTAGAAGTAAAGAGATGGTGTTAGTTAGCTCAAGGTTGTTAGGGTCATGTACGTGATTTATACCTACTGCTTAACTGCATTAGGAAGTGTGTGTGTGTGTGATTTAAGATGAAGGGAAAAGGTGTCCACTGAGCAGTTGTTTTCTATTGCCTGAGAGTTTGTGGGCTATGCAATATTCATAACTTGTGAAATAATTTATAAAAGTGTTTAAATATATATTGCAAGAATCAGACGAGCCTAGGGTGTAGATGTTCAAGTGATCCTGTGAACTTCATCCATCTGATGAGTAGAATGGTTCTAAGTAATGAATTTCAACTTTTTTGATGTGTGGACCAAGCATATAAAAAACATAAGAAAAAAAAAAGAACTTGGAAATCATTCAATAGCCAACATACGTCTACTGTCAATACTACTGACTGTCTGCTGTCAGATTTCTTTTATTATCTTTGCTTAAGTCTCAGTAGCCACTCGCCATCCTAGTGAATTGTTGGCTGTGTACTGCAAAGCATTGGTTTAGTTCAGAATCATGAAAATACAAAAACGGACATGTGGAGTATTTTCTTTTGTGTATGGTGTAGATAGCAAGAGGAATGCATTATTATTATTATGTCATTTAAAAATGTGGTTTTCTTGTTACTTGCTCTCAGGAGTGTTTTTCTTCTACAGGTGAAAAAAAACTCTTGCAATGTAGCTGTTTTATTTTAGTGCCCTTGACATTTAGTCTTGCTTTCTGCTCCTTGTGTTCTAGAGTGCTTCCCAGTGTGTTGTTTAATGATCCACACTGATGATTCTTTTGGCCTGTTTTTGCCTGTTTAATTTACAGTTATCTTAAAATAGATGCCTGCTATTTGCAAGGAGTATTGCTGTAAGATTCTGTTCCAGCTGCTGTAAAAACTGGGAGAGGATAATTCACAAATCCACCAGCTTCCTTAGTACGTTGAAGTGTAATTTGTGGTTGCGTGCTAGTCTTACACCACAGGTTTTTTTATTTGATTCTCCTAACCAAGAGACCTATGGGGAACTGAAAATTGTCAAGATGCTACATGAAACCAATGAGATTACAAGCACACTTTCAGAATTGAACCTATTCATGATAGTGTGACAAGAGGAAAAATATTAATGGAATACCATTACATTCTTGCATATCACCAATATAATCTAAAACAAAATGAAAATTTGTTCTTGCCTATTCTATCACTGTAGGCTGTGTCCCCTGAGAGTCAGAGCATGGGCTCCGTTACTGTCCTGTGATTGTCCTCAGTGTTTAATTGCTAGTCAGCTCCTTGGTGCAGGTTTTGTCTCTAAGACCGATTCTGATCCCAAGCACTGCCCAGATACAGTTCCCAGAGTTAGTGTAAGCTGGGAGGTGTTTCTGGTAGGCACTGTGGATACGACTATTTTGAAGCAGGTGTGAGAAAGGGACAGGAGTGCTTCCCCTTGGAGGTGAAATGCACTGTGCTGCTTGCCCCTGGGGCTGGAGGATGCTCCTGGCTCGGGTTGTTTACAAGAAAGAAGCCCCACCATCTGCCCTGCATGGGAGTGCATTGCAGCATCTGCTGTGTATGTGCATACACCCAGGGAGTTATTTGTCTTCTCTGCTGTAGGCAGCTGTTCCTAGCCCAATTTCCGTGGGCATGGTAGTGACTAATGCAGTGCGCTCTGTTGCTTCCCTCCAAAAGGTGGTTCAGAGTTAGTGTCGCTTGCTCTCAGTTGACTGAATGGAGACTTGAAGCCCCAGTTCAGTTCAGACTCTAAAGTATCACTGAGTGAGTGTCTGGTAGTGCGTTCTGAGCTTTGCTTCTTCTGAGGGCTGAATACTTCCTGCAGGAGCAGGTAGCCTCTCCTGCTCGCTCGCTTACTGAAGTAATCTCCTTGTCTCTGTTTTCGTGTTTTTTATCTTTCTAATGATCTCAACTACACAATCACTGACTCTGTTATGCAGTCCATGCGTATAGAGATCTTGAAAATTTTATTTTTCCTTTGGGATTTTGGTTGCTCTCCTTGCATAAACTTGTCCCGTTTGTATGCTTGTTCATGCGAAGGACAAACCTATTCTTAATTACAGAGTTTTCATGGTTCTCTGAGAGTGTCTAGGATCAGGACTGCTTAACTTTTTTTTTTTTTTTAATATCAAATCCTTCATGTTTGTCTTTCTGTTGGTCAGGTTTGACTGCTCGTATGCATCTGTATATTAGAGGAGAGAACAGAACTCTTCCACTGAAGTCTCTTCTTTGGTACCATCTTTTATCATGTTGTTTAAGGACTTGTAATGACAAATTCAGATAGATAGTACTCTGTCATCTCTGGTTCTCTCTTTCTAACTACGGTTTATTTCAGAGCACTTGATAATATGTGGCTGGACAACCAGGAATATGGGGTAGGGGTGTGACTTGAAGCTGTGATAAGCGTTTAATATAGAATTGATCTGACCTGTCCAGGTGGAGTTGGTGAATATTGGAGGAACTGACATTGTTGATGGAAATCCCAAGCTGACGCTGGGACTACTGTGGAGCATTATCTTGCACTGGCAGGTGAGAGGCTGCTCTGAGATCTCTTCTTTTCCAGGAATCGTGTGTGTTGATCTACTGGAATTCTCACAAACCTTCCCGGGATTTTGGTGGTGGAAAATAACTGCTGCTATTTTGGGCTGCTATATAAAGGCAGGCCAGCATTTGGTTTCTGATCTCTGTCTATTGGCTGCCTCCTGTGACATGTCTTCTTGTATGTGCTCAGTTGTACTCCGTCTCCCAGTTTAGTTCCTGCTCGTATTAATTGCAGAGGGGCTTTACAGGCTGAAGCGTTGTATGCATATTCTTTCCTCAAGGCTTTTATGCACTTCCGTTTGCAGGTGGTTTTTTGCTATCTAGGTAGCTATGTTGGGCTTGCATTTTATGTTGCTCTGTAGGTTTGTCTCTCAGTCTCGTAGGTTGAATTGCTCCTGGTTTATCCAGGTACCTGGGATGATCACTGAATTCACTTACAGGGAATTTGGTGGGTGCTGATGCGTAGTACCCAAACAGCCAGCTGCTTTTGTTGGCTGAGCAGATATCGTCTTCTTGCAGAAAACTTGTGCAAGTTGTATTTTTGGGGTTTGCTTACTGGTGGAACTGCAGCACAAGGCAGTAAGAAATATTATACCACATGCTTAGCATAGGCAGCACTAAGGAGAGGGGGAGGATTGTAAGGTAAGAGTAACTTGTCAGTATTACATGACGTATTACTGGTTCTTGTAATCAGTAGAGTGCAAAGATGGCCTGAAGACACCTATTCCCCAGTTTCATGTGAGGAGTTAGATTCATAGCTTTTCATGGGAAAGACCCTTTCATGATTCGTGAAATAGCTTGGTTCAAAGGTTTTGTAAGCAGAAGTGGAGAACATGTGTGTACAGTGTAGTTGCTGCCATTTTACAGGTGAAGGATGTCATGAAGAACATCATGTCAGACTTGCAGCAGACCAACAGTGAGAAGATCCTGCTGAGCTGGGTTCGGCAGTCCACAAGACCTTATAGTCAGGTCAATGTTCTGAACTTCACCACAAGCTGGACAGATGGACTCGCATTTAATGCTGTCATCCACAGACACAAGTAAGTAGCAAACAGCTTATTTTAGACCTAGAGAAGTAAGCAGCTTTTTTTCCCATGTTTTTGTGCTTGAGCATTTGGCAGCTTCTAGCCTGTGTCAGTGATTCATTGTTTGCTTTTTTGTTGTGATAACAATAACAGTGGAGGGATATTGCCAGAGCCTTGCAAAAGATGAGGCCAAGGCAGCAGTGTAACTCTCCCAGTGAGAGAGCACACTTGCTAATTGAAATGGATTTACATCCCACTTAGTATGCGTTACACAGAGAATACTCTGAAATGGGTCTCTGCGGGGGGTGTGTGTGTGTGTGGGGTGTGACCCCCTCCTTCCCCTGTACTTACTTCCTCCTGCCCTCCCTCCTCTGCAGAGGGAAACATTTCTGCTGTTGGAAGAAGAAGCTGTGTCATTTTAGTAAGGAGATACAGAAGCTTCAAGATGAAGGAATAAGAAAGACAGGCTCTGTAGCTTTTCTTGGTTTTTGAATGTATGTTGCTGGAAAGACAAGGTATGCAGTTCTTCTAGGAGAAACGTTGAGCAGAAGAATCAAAGGGTAATAGAATACTTCAGGTATCTGTAATGTGTTCATTATACTTTATAAAGAATACTGTTAGAGCTTCATTGCACAGCTCTTTTGTGTTCTTTCTGATTTTTGTAGAACTCTATAGTAGTCTAAAGAAATCATCATTACAGACTCCTATGGAACTTATGTACCAGTTTGTTGTTTTGTTTTTGGTTTTTTTTTTTTTTTTTTTTTATTTTCTTTGAGATCTGCTTCTTGGCAATCCACTCTAGACCAGCGTACCTTAAATAAGATCAGCTCATTGCTTTGCAAGCACTGACTGGTCTTAACCATAAATAACCATTTTAACATGGTAATGGTATGATAATACCTAGCATTTAACCAGACTTCCTGGCTACCAGGTGTCTGTCATGACAAATGCTTTACAAACATATTTAAGAATATTTATACCCAGCAGATACAAAGTGTTCGCAAAAGCATGTGTTCGCTTTGAGCCTGCTGTTCTCTGCTCTTCAGTTCCCATTTGGCCTGTGCTGACTGAAATAATAGGCTCTGTCACAGGCTCGCTGGCTTCAGGACGGGTCTGCCCTGACACAGCGGTGTGCCTCATAGACCAGAGCCAGCCTGTGTTCAACCTGCATGGATACATGGGGAGCACCTGCACCATGCTGAGGGCTCCTCAAAGCTTGGAAGGGCTGCTCTGCAAAGGCAGAGCTGTACTAGCAAAGGTCTCTCCGGAGTTCATCAGAAGTATTACCAAGTCCCTTCTCTGGATGGTGTGAGCAGTATCGGTGGTTTTCATACCGGTGTAAATGCCTGTAGCGGTGTAGCTATGCGGCTGAATATGTGAAGCTTTGTGATGGAGAGAGTGCCAGCTTTAGACAGAAGTGAAATCTAGGTGACCTGAGGGAAGCAGAGAGCAGAACTGGCTTCAGGCTGTTTGTTTTCCTTATGCATTGTGGCTATGGTCTTGGACTTTGTGGGTTTTGAAGTCTGTGAGCTCTGCCCTTTTCACAGCACAGCTAAACAGCAAAAGCCCCTGCTGAAAACTTTAACTGAGTAACTGTGCTTTTCCTCTGGCTTCGTAAAATTTCTTGGTTACCTGGCTCTGTTGATCTATGAGCCTGTTATTTCCTCTTCCTGGGAGCCTGGCAGCTGCCAGGGCATCAGAATTCATCTTTGCTGTCCCTGGGCACCAGTCCTTTAGCCAGGGAAGCATCGTTTTCCCCACACTTCTGAGAAATCTTGAGCTAGGTTTAAACTTAGGTCAGCTTTGAAAGAGAAGCTTTAAAAGGCACTTGCAAGGAACTAAGGGTTTGGGGCAGGTTGCAGAAGTGGTAGGACAACAAAACTCTTTCTTACTCAGAGAGCAGTGCTTCCCTGCCTAAGGGACATTTTCAATATTGCTTCTTTAATTCAGCTTAGTATGACATTTAATGGGATCCACAAAAATTTTCCTGTATTTAGAGGTTTAGTAGCTCACTTTTTATGTATCTGTCAACAATTTTAGCGCTGCTACCTCTTGGTTATAGTATCTAGTAACTTTGTGCCACTTGCAGTACTTAATAAAATTATATGAGGTAATAGGACATTTAACATTTCACTGTGTTGGTCTCTTTCCTGTCCTAATACTAGCTTAGTTCTCCTTTGAATTCTGCTCTCTGGTACAATTTTCTTGCTCACAGGTAAATACCTAGGTTGCATTTTATTACAATTCATGTTATCATGGCAGTGTGCAGGCAGTGCGTATACAATGTACTTATTGCAATGTGTTTTTCAAAGTAAGAGTGTCTGTTAAAGCTTTATGTGAATCTATTTATGTGAATCTGGTTATTGTTGTTGCTTCTTGCATGGAGATACAATATTCCACTAGCTTCTACCAGGATCTTTTGCACATCTCTGTTCCCCACTTACCTCACCTTCCGCTGGCTTTTTGCTTCTCAGACCCTGCTGGCTTATGGCCTTCCTGTTTCACAAAGTGTAATGACTCGACAGATGTTAAAAGGATATTCTCAGGTCAATTTACAACTGAATTAAGTATTAGAAGAATTAAATGCAAGCTAATCTCTTCCTCCTCAAGTTCTATAAAGCCTCAGAATCGATAGCAGTGTTTTAAGGAGAAGCCACTACTGCAGGGGAATGGAAAGCATTTTAATGGGTCTGTAGGGTTACAGCTGTGGTGCTGCAGCGGTAGGCTGGCCGTGCCCTGTCGGTGTAGGCAACCACTACGGGGGGACTCTGTTTGCTGACCCCACTTGCTGCTCTGTGCTCTGCCCTTTCCCCTTGAGACCTGCCTGTATGTTTTGGGTGCACAACTGGACTGGAGATTTGGTTTGGTTAACGCTGATGTGAGATGCAGGCTGCTGGCACTGTAAATCGATCAGCTCCTTGGTCTGATTTGCATTGTGACTCTCATGAGCACTTGGGGTGATTTTTTTGTAAGTTTGTTTTTCTTTTTTTTTTTTTTTTAATGGGGGAGAAAAAAGGCTGTGGGGTAGGGTGAGTGAGTGTGGATGGAGACTGCTGCTGCTCCTGGCTGTGATGGTCTGGGGTGGTCACTGAGCCACATGACAGGTTTGGAATGGGGCTCTCCAGGAACAGAGTGACTCTTGATTACCCAGCAAAGCCTGATGCAGAAAGCAGTAAGTAACAGTAATGCTGTGAAAGAAACAGTTGAAGAAAATGGGTTCTGGAATAAATCTTGAACACAGAGTTTGTTTACTTTCTTGTTAGGAGTGTTTAATCTCCTGTTGCAGTTAATAAGTATGTGTACAGAATACATAGAATGGAAGGTGGATGTTGCTGTGGACATGCAGTCAGTTAATTAATTTCTGATTGCCAGATTCTCAGTAATAAAAAGAAAGCACATATATGTATTTATACATTTGTATAGAATCACAGAATCACAGAATGGTACGGGTTGGAAGGGACCTCTGTGGGTCATCTAGTCCAACCCTCCTGTCGAAGCAGGGTCACCTACAGCAGGCCGCACAGGACCGCGTCCAGGCAGGTCTTGAATATCTCCAGAGAAGGAGACTCCACAACCTCCCTGGGCAGTCTGTTCCAGTGCTCCATCACCCTCAAAGTGAAGTTCTTCCTCATGTTCAGACAGAACTTCCTGTGCCTCAGTTTGTGCCCATTGCCCCTTGTCCTGTCGCTGGGCACTACTGAAAAGAGCTTGGCCCCATCCTCCTGACACCCACCCTTGAGATATTTATAAACATTTATTAGGTCCCCTCTCAGCCTTCTTTTCTTCAGGCTGAACCAGCCCAGCTCCCTCAGCCTCTCCTCGTAGGATAGATGCTCCAGTCCCCTCACCATCCTTGTGATCCTCCAGTCCCCTCCCCATCCTCGTAGCCCTCCGCTGGACTCTCTCCAGTAGCTCTTCATCTTTCTTGAAGTGGGGAGCCCAGAACTGGACAGAGTACTCCAGATGGAGCCTCACTAGGGCAGTGTAGAGGGGAAGGAGAACCTCCCTCGACCTGCTGACCACACTCCT